AGTATTCTTGTTCACCGGTTTTATGCCTTTCGTGAGCTCTTTTGTTCCCTTTCCCGAGCCCTCGCGAATTTTTTCACCGTTATCATCTTGTACAGGTATCAATATTCTTTGAAGACCTGAGACTAGCAGTATGGTTTTTAGCTCGAAAAGCAGTGGTTACGTTTCTTCACAATGAGAGCACCTTTGGTTTGCGCGTCAGTTTTTCATTCGTATGATCCTGGCCACAAATTGCGAATGGAGCACACTCACTGTTATTCAAACCATGGAGACGCCGGTATGTGCTCATGTTTTTTACCAAAACGTATTACAGTCATGTATTTGCTATCCCTTTTGATGTATCACCTTAATGTAGTGTAGTTCATCATCTTCTTGAAGTCGCACGTTCATAACTAAATTGACCGGAAATCCCCAGGTTGTCAGCCTTAGAGTCATTTAATGTCAACCCAACCATGGTTTATTCTCCCCTGCATGACACAAGCATGGGAGATTATACTTTTGGTCTGCTGCCATGTTTTTTTCAACGATTTGAAAATTTCAAAATAGTCATTAGTTGAGCTATATTAGGTAGCTTAACTCTGACCTATTGATCTGGCTCTTTTTCGTTACTCCGTGATGAGGAATGTGAACGTCGAGCTCATAGGATCGAAGGACTCCGAAGAATGCGAAAATAGCCGACGGAATTGTGTTTAAGATGGTCTTGTTGAGAAAACTCACTGCTTTCACACTCTACCTTTGCAATACCGGAAAGCCTCTAGCACTCGTGAACTTACCAGCATGACTGTCTTTAGTAAACTTGCGGAAGGTTCCACTTTTGACAGTGAAGGGCACCTTACTCACACCTCAACTGCTCAACTGAAGGTTGAGCTCTTGGTCCTGTTCACAGCATGGGCTCTTCCGGTTCCATTATTACTTCGAGACTCTCACAGTCAAATAAACAGTCTTAAATTTAGGCCATTATCACTATGACACGACTCCAGATACGGTCGTCTATGAAGGATATTTTACTGCTGCCGAAAAGATTTACCGATTCGATGAAGTCTAACGGCAATATGAAGAGCTATTCTGTTAAAGTATGTTTTATAACTGTGATAACGGATTCACTGTTGTTTGGTGATAGGTTTTTCCGAACGGTTTTCTTGCCATGCTTCTTTCTTCACGAATTCATTTTGTTATTAATAAAATTTTCTGCTACATTGTCCTGTTCGGCGACGGTTTGCCTTTATGTCTGAGATTTTCATTTTAACAAAATCACTCTGAAAAATTTGGAGTATTTCTCTGAGCAAATGAACTTTCTATCTTACCGGCGCTCTTTGGCTGCTACTTCGCCTGGTAAGATTTGATATGCAATGTTGGTCTGCTGTGATAGTTGAGTTGTTAGAGAAATAAAGCGCAGCTTCTTTAAGAGCCAATTTCTGAATAGCTAGTCCATTGTCCCGCTTTGAAAGTCATACCCAGGCCTGCCATATGGCTATAAAAAGGATTTTGATCATAGACTCCCACCAAAAAAATTGGAATGGGTGCTGATCTATGCCAAAAATCGGGTTCATCTTATCATAATTCGAACGCCTTAACTGATCTCAACCTATCACATGATTAAAAACCCTGGTTGATTTGTGGGCATGTCCGTAAACAAAGTTTGGAAAAAAGATGCTCAGAAATCCTTATGGTGCCGTACCATCATATTCTATTAATTGAAATTTCGATTGTCCTTGGTGGTGTGATAATAATTT